AAGGATTGATAGGAAGCAGCAAATAAAGAAGTAGAATCCTATTTAAAAAAGGACAACAAAACAAGAAAAAGGAATGGACAGTATTAAAGGATAGAATGAGAAAATGTTTATAGAATAGGGTGCACAAAGTAGGAAGAGAGGAAGACAGAAGGTAGAACGGATCAAAAACAGAGGAAGAGAAGAAGTAACGACAAAGGCAAATAAGGAAAGAGGAAACAAACAAGGATAGATTGAAGGACAACGGAAGGGAAAGAAAACATGTAATATAAAAAAAACAGCGTTAAGTAGGGAGGAGAGGATATGAGTGAAGATCGGAGGGAAGGCAAGAAGGATATGAGTAAAGGTAAAAAGGAAGGAAGAAAGAGCATTCAAAAGAAGGAAGACAGCAGGACTAAATGAATAAATGAAGACGAATATTTGAAAGTACCAACATTTTTCTTCCCTCTATTTTTTCATTCTAATCCAAACTTGGAAAACTAAATCAGACTTCACACTTTTCCAGACCTTCCCAGTCTGACTGGGAACCCTCTGTTTATGCATGAGGGGAAGAAGCCGAGTCCTTTGGATCCAGCTGCCCATTAGCACCAGCACAGCACTGAGGAAGGAACCCAGCTGAGAATTATGACTCAACACCAATTAGGCTCAACCTCCATAACTACTGCACATACAGTAGGAGTGTGCTCAGCTGGAACACTCCCGGTATCAGCTTAATAACTCTTAAATACCAACACTTCATGTTGTCCCATTTGCGCACCAACTCGATGTGTCTGTATGACTCATCTATTAGCGGACCATCCTACCCTATTAAATCCCATCTTGTATCTCATCATTTCTGTGTGCAGAAACATGTAGCAAACCACAAGTGTTTTGTTGCAGCCCCCTCACCTCCAGTTCCTGTTCTCTCTGCAGGGCGAACTGCTTAAACGACTTGACAATAATTCCAGCGTTGGAGCAGTCGTAAACGAAAATAGACGGGCTCCCCATCCACGTCTGCAGGTCATAGATGGACAGAGGGATGTACTGGGTGTAATTCTGGAAAAGAGGAATGAGACGAGTATGAGATATAGTGCAATGCGTTACTGCTGATAAGTCACTTTTATAGATTTTTACTGTGTTCAATTATTCATTAGACCTCTGCTTGATGGAAAGTACTGATTTAAAAAAAGGGGAAAAGAGAAAACCATAATGTGTCAGACAGGGTTAAAAACATGCCAATGTTGGAAATATAAGGATAGCATTTCATATTTGAAATTTCATTCAATATATTACTTTAAACATCATCAGCTTCATTTTCAAATAAAAAAACACTTTAGACAAAGTTATCAAATAAGGCAAACAAGTTATTCAATCAATCTGTGGTTCTGCTCAGGTGTTAGGGAAGCCCAAGCTTCTTTAGTAGCAGCCTTAAGCTATTTTGTATAGCTTAAGCCCATAGATTTCCTATGAGGCTATGGTTATGCATTTAGCTTGCCAGCCAAGCAGTGATATCATGTCCATTATAGTGTTTTGGCACCTTTGAGCCAAAAGCAGGCATTGTTGGAAGAAAGATTAGATCAGAGGGAAGTTTAAAGGACTGTAGGAGCCACTGACTGATGGCTCTGCTGAAGTTGGACTTAATAAAACATAATGGTACTACACAAGCACATGACAAGGATCCTCAACTTACCACTGCTGCTCAACCAACAGAATTCTTAGCATCTAAACTCACAAGTCATTTTTTTCCCTACTTAAAGCACATTGAGAACTTGCTTACTTTTAAGGGTTTTTTCTCAAAATTGACCTTTTTTGTGTGTGTGGATGTATGATCATGTGCTTTGTACCATGTGGGGAAAGAATAAGGCCAATTTCACAAGAATTTGCTACTTTGGGACTTGCAGTTACTTGTGGGGACCAGTCGATCGGTTCCCATGAGGAAAAGTTCTCTTCTTGGGCTGGGAGTTTGGGTTAGCACTAAGGTGTGGACGATCCAGAAAGGAGTAAAAATGTCTTAAATTATGTGTATTTACCCTTAATTTGAGTAGGTGTATATGTATATTTTGTTGTTCCATTGGCAAAGCATCTGATAAACCTCAATTCAAGAAAAAAATGCAATTATTTTTGGATTTTGGATTTCTATTTTTTGTATTGTATAAATAAAAACTGAATTAGATATGTAAACAAATAGATAAAATGACCGTTATAGACTTGTAAAATCACATGATTAACTACTCAGATTGAACTTATTATGAGGTTCTGAGATTCAGAATATTAAAGTGAATTTGTGTGCGTGTGGATGTATGATCATGCCATGTGGGCAAAGAATAAGGCCAATTTCACAAGAATTTGCTACTTTGGGACTTGCAGTAACTTGTGGGGACCAGACGATTGGTTCCATTGAGGAAAAGTTGTCTTCTTGGGCTGGGAGTTTGGGTTAGCACTAAGGTGTCGACTGAGTTTACATTAGTTTAAAGGTTGGGTATATGTTGGTAAAGGTTAGGCCATACAAATGAATGGAAGTCAATGGAAAGTCCCTGCAAAGATTACTGGAAATAATGTGTGTGTGTGTGTTTGTGTGTGGGTGTGTGTATGTGCGTGGTTTGATGATCCTTCTTCCTATTAATAGCTAATATGTTTTTTTCAACACATGAAGCTAAACAAGTGTGCTTGTGATATATTTCAAATGAATGTTTTAGGTTAAATTAAATAGCTTGAGATAAAGCAGATTTATAAATATATATGTGATGCGATGCCCCGTTTCATAAAACAAAAATAATAAAGGAGATATGCCTGTACTGCTTTAGTAACTTATCTGACTAAAATCCCCATGTCTCTTAATTTGAAACTTTTAAGTTAACGGGCATCAGATTTTCAATTATGCAAAAAGAGAAAAGAGACAGGACTGTTACAAGATGTATCTTGGGGAGTTTCGTGAGAAAATAATCTAATTTTACAATAAACATTATATAATTAATTTAGATTATTTTCAATTTGAGAGTAACAGAATTCTCTTAGAGCATTTTAAATAAAAAAATTCTCTTTAGTTTAGCATTTTTAGCTTGATGGATGTTGTTAGTTTGTGCGATCATGGGGGCGTGGCAACCAATACCAATGTTCCAGAAAATAAAAAATAAAAAAATTATATCCCAGTTCACGAGCATATGATTTGTCTCTCAGATGAATCAAACTTTTAATCACTTCATATTTGCAACATTAGAAGATAAAATCATGATTCTTGATCATGTCTTTTTTTTTTTTTTTACCTTGTTAAAAACCCAAATTTCCCCATTAACGGTTGGCCGTGGCACTCCATGGCCATTGTAGTGGAAGAGGACTCTCTCCTCTTTAGCGTTGCGCCGCAGGGACGTGCAAAGTTTCTTCACTTCATCCACTGTGGGGTCCAGACTCTGTTTGTAGCGTGCCTAAGAAGGGAAAAATAGAAAATAAATGATTTTATTATGGATTTCCAGGTTTGTTTAATATAAGCTCATTATATCAAGCTTAAAACAGATACAAAACAATCAGATTGAACACAAGTGTCAAAGAACACAAGGTATCTAAAGACGGGGGGAAAAAGAAGTTGCTCAACCTAAACCAAAAGATAGTACTTGTGTTGGAACGTCTTAGTTGGGAATTAAGTTATACAGCATGCAACCTGCATGCAATTGCAGGTTCTCTGCCTAGTTTTACTCAATTAATTTTAAGGCCCTTATAATGCAGGCAATTTTACAGCATGACTCCTTTTTAGGGCTTATAAATCAATCCATCCATTTTCTGTCATGCTTATCCCAAGCGGGGTTGCAGGGCGTGCTCGATTGTTAAAATAATCATCAACTAATTTGGCAATGAAGTCGAATTACAAACTGATGTAAACTTAATATCGAACAAATTAGATCATTGCATACATTTTTGTAGAAAAACACAATAAAATTCGGTGAATATTAGTAAATATTTTTTACCCATCAACAAGTACTTAGGTTACAACCTAAGTACTTTGGAATCGATGCAAGCAAGGAAGCAAAACAAACCAAATAAACCAGAAAGTTTAGTTTTTTTTCCCTCTCATATTAACAGAAATAAGGACAACTTTGACAGAAAAGATGTTTTAATCTTTGGGGATTTTAAAACAAAGTTTTTCTCTACCTGTTTGTTCTTATTTGAAAATGCTTTAAGAAACAAAACCTTGGGAGTGCAGAGATGTTACAAAATATCAGTTTATTGGAAGTAAATAAAATCAAATAATCCTTAAAAATAAAAATTTTTTTTACTTTTTGTTATAATCAATCTCAAACTTAAAAATATAACGAATTCAGAAGAAAAGAGGCAACATAACTAAAAAAAACACTTTTGAAAAGGTTGAAACCAACGTGTAAATGAATTACTTTCAGTATTTGTGGTCTATTGAAGTGACTCAGAACGATGTTGAATAATTATGATTCAACAGTAAATAAAAGTGCCAGGCCCAGGCCATGAGACTTGGACTTTATCAACACACATATGCTGCTTCACTGCTTCCAGCTTGTTTCCTCGGCCACCTGTTGTTTACTTCATCTCGGACTCTGCTGCTCTATGTCACAAAGCTTGAGGTCCACATCAGCATGTGCGAATAAGCCAGAAAGGTTTTACAGCCGGAGACAGAGGATATGTGTATTGTTCTTGGTTTTATTAAATAAAGTGCTGGTGTGTGCAATGCTGAAAGTGACACAGAGGTGTCAGCAGCTAGTTATGCAACAGAAAAGCTCCTGTTCCTACAGCTCTGAATCATTTTAAAGCTCACCGAGGCCCTTCTGTTGCATAACTAACGTGACTTTTACCAAACAGCCTGTCTTCTGTTGACTTGAAGTGAATCACATTATAACACAGATTCATCCTCTAACAATCATCAAAGCCGATGTAACTCATAAAATCAGTGAGACATAAGTATTTTGTTTTACTTAGTAATCTGACTTAGAGAAAGAGGGCATAGAGAAGGTTGTAATGCAAATCTCACCAACTTGTTTATTTTTTATTTTTTTATTCTTTGCTGTGTGATTTCTTTTTAAACATTCTGTACCTATTTTCTTTTAAAATCTTTAGGCTGAAATTCCTTCTCTGATTAAACCAATTTCTCATACATCTCTGGAGAAAATATCAACTTTTACTCATACTTAGGGGTTAAACTAAGCCAGAGCAAGTAGCACAGAGCTGCGTCCCACATCATGACCAAGCTGTACAAGGCAGTCTTAAAACTGAAAAGGTAAAGATTTTCAATGTAAAATATGACGGAAAATATATTGAAGAAAAATAATATAAAATACAGCCACAACAAAGACTGTGGAGCGATTTATAACTGCTAAAGGTTATAAAACGTAGGTTTTAGATGTGATCACGAAGTGGGACATAATGGTAACCGTATATGTGTATTTAAGATGTTTTTTAGAGGTTGAAATGTTTGAAAGATTTACTGAGGGTGAAAATTTACCATATTCTTGTTACAGTTGCCCCTAAGATTTATACAAAGCAGCTATATCAGGTTTCAACGCTGGAAAACTAAAGTAGAACAGTCCTTAAGATCTGAGTTCTGAGTGCCTTGTTCTAGGGACATAGTAGTTTATAACAGGTTGGAAACGTAGCCATTTATTGATGCCTAACTACAGTACCTACACTACAAAAAAACGATCCAGAAAAGAGTAAAAATGTTTTAAATTATGCGTATTTACCCTTAATTTGAGTAGGCGTAAATGTAAATTTCGATGTTGCATTGGCAAAGCATCTCGTAAACCTTAATTTAAGAAAAAAAATGCAATCATTTTAAAGAAATTGGATTTGTTCAGTGTATAAATACAAACTGAACTAGATATCTAAACAAATAGATAAAATGACCTTAAGACTTATAAAATCATATGATTAACTACTCAGATTGAACTTATGAGGTTCTGAGATACAGAATATTATATTCCCATCCATATCTTGTGCTTCCTGAGTTGAAGAGCCAGAGGACCTTTTCACCCTTGGTCCCATTGGACAATATACTGCGGCCAAACTGAGCAACCTCAATTGAAGAAACCCACTTTTTCCTGTGTCTGGAGGACGAAGAACGGAAGCACCATGGCCGGACTGGCAAGAAAATTAAATTTATCTATTATTGGATAAAAGCGTCTGAATTCCAACAGGCCCTGTGCTAATCTCTGTGGTATCAAGTGGTATCTGAAAGGTATAATGCTATTACAGGGTAATGGAGGAAAGGAATCTGAAATAAAGGCTTATTTTAGACATAAAGGGGAATGTCAATGAAGAGTGAGAAATTAAAAGTAAAATAAGAACCAAATGAAAGAAAAGAGGTAAACAAGTGAGAAAAGTCATATACGTTACTTTCATAAATGATATGCTTATTAAAGTGTCTAATTAATCAAAATGAGGGTTGATAAAGTGGATGCCTGGAAGAGGCAGAGGAGAGATTAGAAGAAGACATTTTACGTCAGTTTTTCTACATTTCATTTTTCATCAAACCCAAGAACTAATACTTGTTCACCCTGTTCGTACAGCTACATTCAACTACACTCCATCAAGCTGTAAGCTCTAAGAAAATAATATACCACAAAACCATTTAGCAGTATGAAGCCTGATCTCTATTTTATGCTACACTTCACTGCAGTTGTTTTAATCCTATTTTATATTAGAAGTGTTGCAGCCATCTTCACTCAGCTGCAAAACCGTATGCTGTTGCAAGAAGCATGCAGAAATCACACAATTAAAGCAAGACATTAATTTCAAAGTCAGACCAAAACAACTGTGAGAGGGGCATAAAACAGTTCAAACCGCTTTGCTTTTTGTTTTCTTTTTGGACCCAGATATTTTGAAGTGTTTTTCTATGGGTGGGTATATTGAGCACAAAGAAACTATTTTTTTTTTTTTTTTTGCTAACATTGGTCCATGTAATGTGCATTCAATGTTTCTATAATGCACAACCATAAATTACCAACATTTCATAAATGGGTAATTATATGACTGTATTTAAAAATATATATAGCAAGACCTTGAAGAAACTATAGCCTGTCTTCTTATTGATTAAGTGTGGTCTGAGTTCGACTCTAAACAGGCTCCAGTATCTAGCAAAAATAGAATTAGGAGGAATTTTAGTAGAAGGCTGCAGGCACACTTCAGTATAAACACTCTCAAGGACAATAATAAGAGTGCATTTAGTCCAGAGTTCATAACAGAGAACGAAGGACAAAGTGTTACAAGGCGCAACAGTTCAAAATTGAAAAAAAAAACATTCAGCTTTTATTGTAGAATTTTTAGACAGATGCAATTCATCTGTCTAAAAGTTCTCATGCATAAAACCCTTAACTCTTATGCATAATCCCTAAACATACATCAACCCAACATGTACAAGGTCCATTATCTGTTTTAATTATGTCTTCATTGATAAAAACCCAGTTTACAATCGTTAATATCATGCACAAAGTGGTATTTCACTTGATTCATCCATGTCTGAAAAGTCCTCTCTGAATAGCAGCCCATCCGTTCAAGGGGCAAAGACAGGTCTAGAGATTTAATTAACTGTGCCCTCCAGAAAGCACCTGCCTTGATCGCACCGCCATCCCTGCCCTGTAAACAACATGCCAACTTTCTCAGATCAGCAGCAGTTATCTGAAGCAGACCAAGATTATTTTTGGTCAAAGCTGAGACAAAGGGGCTCTTTCAGTATCTAATGTGCTCTAATGTCTCATATAGATATTGTATCATATTTTTCTCAAAAGGTATACATCTCAAATTTGTAAGGTGTGGAATTGCTTTTGCTGTAACATTTTCCAGCTGCTGTAACACAAAAATTTCACTATTGTGAGACAATTATAGGAATTTTCTATTCTTATCTATTCTATATATAGCAGGCAGCATAAACAACCAAAGAAAGATTTTAAAAAACAGAATACTTCACTGATAAGAGTTTAGAATGACACCTCTCAATGACAGGTTTCCTACAGCATAAGGCAAGTTAAATTCAAGACTTTTTAAGACTTTTTAATGCCACTTGAAATAAAAATTTAAGACCAAATTCACAAGAAACACAAGAAAAACCTGCTTGTGACAACTTAACCCAAAGGTTTATTATAACATAAACCACTGCACTAATTTTGAAAAGCTTCCCATACAGGAAAAAAGCTAGAAACACACAGATGACAGATATATTTTAACAATTATTTAACTGAATTCACAAACTTTGTTTTAGCAGGGAACAAAACAAATCACTTTTAAAGCCACAACATAACCAGCGCTAAGTCTTTTTTGCAGCATCTCCCAAATGTCCCGGCCGGAACAACGCTTTTATTGGTTCCGCTATCGGGACGGAACCAATAAGGGCGAGCCATTATTTTTATTTTTGAATAAAAAAAAAAAAGGTCAATTTTAATGTTTTATTTAGATTACAAAAATAAATCAT